ATTATGCGTCAGACAGTGGGAAACGAGAAGACAGGATATCATGACCGACCGACGTGAAGAACCTAGAAGACCTGGATTTCGCGCGTGGATGATTTATGTTTGATGTCACACAAAATCGAAGACTTACAAGCGAAAACCGACAAACTGGTCGAAGAAGCAGCAAAGACAGGACTCCAGGTGAACATAGACAAGACGGAGGTTATGAAAATAACCAACCAACCAACCAACCAACAACAACAGCAGAAACATCCAGCCCCAGTCATCACCAACGGGAGGGATTTGAAAGAGGTTACTTCATTCACTTATCTAGGGAGCATTGTCTCAACTACAGGAGGAAAGGACGAGGATGTCAAATCGAGCGAGAATCGGGAAGGCGAGAAACACATTCATCAACCTGAAATCAATCTGGAAATCTTCGTCACTCAGCCAGCATCAACAACAAAATTCGGTCGGATTTTTAATAAAAACGTAAAGTCAGTTCTTCTATACGGATCAGAAACTTGGCGGGCGGGTCACAAAGAATATTTTCAACAGCCTGTTGCAGACCTTTATTAACAACTGTCTTCACTCTATACTGAAGATCAGACGGCCGGAAAGAATCACCAACAAGGAACTATGTGGAGAAACAAACCAAGAACCAATCGCCCAACAAATATGCAGGAGAAAGTGGAGATGGATTGGACACTCGCTGAGGAGACCGCTGAGTGACATCGCGCGCCAAGCCCTCGAGTGGAACTCGAAAGGGAAGCTGTGTGTGGGACGTCAGTGGAAGGGTGACATGGAGGAGATCGTGTAAAGAGGAGTTGAAAGAGTATGAAATAACATTGGTGCAGGTGAAAAGTACAGCAAAAGACAGAAGCAAATGGAGACGTGCAGTTGAAGCCCTATGTTCCACTAGGAACCCAAGGGAGAAATAATAATAACAGTACTTTATTTAGCAGTCACACATTTTATGTGATGAGTTGAGTGTAAGGCAGGACACTACCAACTTATTGAGTCACATAAAGTCAACGACCCTCATTTTTGTATTCTGTCGATTATTATACTGTTGTTGATATTCTCATTTAGTCTGATTTTGTGTGCATATACTTACTGAACATTATTATCAATGTTAATGCCTTGTTTTAATTACTAACACTATAATGATTTAGTTAAATGCAATACCGTACTACATGCTGAAAATTCTATATTTCTACAAAAGTACTCTTTGAAATAAAGCAGTTATTATTATCATTCGGCTTTAAAATTAACTGACTTCTACATCGGTTTAAAATTTTCACAGGATATCCATTACCATCAAAAGTATCCATCAGTATTTTATTTTCATCCTCTAAAACATCAGCTGAATCTTACTGAATAACCACTTTACCAAGCCTCTCTTATACTCTAGGAGAAAGAAATTGTGAAAATGCGAACACTGCCTAGTCGAAGTGAGCAACATTAGACCATCATCTCTGCGACTCAGAAGCATGCCTAAATATGCAAGCTGGTTGAAACTTCCCATCTGGTGGACGACTCTCACCTTAATGATTATCGCATATCATTTTCAAAAGCTATATAATCGCATTGAAATACATAAATTTATTTATTTACACATAAATACGAAGGCTAATGAAAATTAACAATTATTTTTAAATTGATGTGGATTACTAGAGGCTTAGAAACAAAAACTGCACAGGATTAGAACGAGTTACAAGTGTTTATCTTTTTCAGACCTGTAATTCGTTCTAATCCTGTGTAAGTTTTGTTTCTAAGCCTCTCGTTAACCATATCAAGTTGAAAATAATTGTCTCCTTTTATCCGCCTTCGTAATTATGTGGAATTAAATAATAATTTTGAAGAGTTTGGTTTGTAAGGACTAGATATGTTTATACAAGTTTGACCACGGATTTGTGTCAGTTAAAGAACCATTGAAAACCAGCATGGAGCACTGGATAGCTGTTTCATCCGAGTTTGGGAATTATCGGCAGTACGCACGCACTGCCACGGTTCGAACCCAAGACATTCCGTAGACCATTCATCCACTGAGACCCAATTCAGTAGCCAGCCCATGAATTCTAACTTACACCAATTTGTGATTTCAGCGCGACCACCAACCAGTGTCATCGGTGTGAACTCCATTCTCACACTTGATTGGATGGACCTCACTGGTCACGACTTCTTACTAGAACCTCAAGAAACTCGGTCTTGTAGCATGGACCACTGAATTCGGTCCTAGTGGCTGAATGGTATACCAGCCTACCTTGTAAACGGAAGGTCATGGGTTCGAATCCCAGTGGGTGCGTACTATGGATGATTTCCAAGCATTAGGATGAAACAGCTGTTCAGTACTACCCGGTTTCCAATGATTCTCTAACTGATACCAATCCATGGTCAAACTTGTATAAATAAATAATAGTTTTATCTATGTAAATTAAAGTATTTAAATGCGACTGTATAGCTTTTGAAAATGAAGTCGCCGGAAAGATATCTTCACTGAACTTCGTGTTTTCTTGTTTCTAATGTCCTATTGGGTAGTTTGTTCAACGGATATTGATTATTTTCTGTTGCTAGGTTGATTCGCATATCCTGTTGACTGATTATGATTAGCCCAAAAAACAAATAATAGCTGATATCTGTTGTACAAAAATAGTTTCCGTGGCTTAGTGGATAGTGTTTTGGATTTCAGTAGGATGCGTGTAGTGTTCAAGTCTCACTAGGAAAATTAGAACAAATTGCACAATCAAGAACTTTCCACCGGTCATCAACGAGCAAAATAACTCCATCTTGATGCCTAAATAAAGTCGAAGTGTCCTCACCAGAAGATGAAATTTTCACAGGAGCCGACTATTTTGGTCTAACAAAATCAATCACCGGGAAGTGAGAATTATCCTTAAAACAAAGAAAATTTCACATAAGCTAAAATGCCTTTTTTCTGTAGACTGGTGTGTAATATATAGATATATATATATATATATGTGATGCGAATAGCGAATGCTCTACTAGTACCACTGGTGCACAAGGACATTAAAAAGTGTGCGACGAAGCCTCAGCTCATTAAAGTTTAGTAAGCAATATACCAGCAGTTATACATCTCATTCAAAAGTTGTACGACGATGATGCATGCCAAATAATCCACAAAAAGAAACACACGGAATACTTCATAGTGAAGACCGGATCAAGACAAGCTGGCTGCATACTATTTTCAATAATTTTCCTGATGGTGGTAGGCTGGATAATATGACAGACAGCGGATACTGTGAAACAGGCATAAAATGGACCCACTCAAAAAGGACTTGGAGGATCTGGACTTCGCCGATGATATATGTTTGATCTGACACAAACGAGAAGATATGCAAGTGAAAAGCAACAAGCTGGCAGAAGAAGCATCCAGAGAGGATAGGCCTTCAGGTGAATATAGAGAAGGTGAAGACAGAGGTGTTGAAGATTCCTAGTCATTAGCAACAGCAACAACAACAGACAACGATCAGCGTAAATGAGAAAAATCTGAAAGAAGAAACCTCTTTACCTACCTAGGAAGAATTGTTTCAGCTACAAGCGGAACTGACGAGGATATAAAAGCATAAATCGGGAAAGCAAGGCAAGGTAACATTTTTTAACTCATGGAAAATTCCCATTGTAACATTGAGAAAATCAAAACAAGTCATTCAGCGAAGAGACTCTTTTCAACGAATTTATCATCAAGCTGTACAGTCGTATATACATGGTTTTTTAGAAGTTATATCCGGTGAGGGAATTGAATCTTAGGTGTGAATGCATATGCAATGAACTGTTCCCGGTATTATTTCACTTGTTCCACTTGTCTATTCTAAATCGATTCTTTTTTACAGCGATAAATTCCATGCCATTAAATTTCACACAATATTACGTAACACTTTAGGTTTTATTCGATTTGTCTACTAATCCTATAGTTGCACACCCTTTTTCAAGTTCTATCCATCCTGTGAATTATTCTATATATAACATTAATTTGCTTTGCCACTTGACATTTAACTACGATTATAATCACAAACATTTTAGTTTTTATTGCACTTCATATTATTATTATTATTTTATGCATTCACACCTAAGATTCGATTCCCTCAACGGATATAACTTCTGAAAAACCATATATATACGACTGTACAGCTTGATGATAAATTCGTTGAAAAGAGTCTCTTCGCTGAATCACTTGTTTTGGTTTTCTAAAGGTAACATTTCTCTCAAGTCTGTGTGGAGGTCAACAGCACTCAGCATAAAAATGAAAATAAGATTTGTATTTCCAACTCCAATATGAAGTCAGTGCTACTCACCATACGGATCAGAGACTCAGCCAGCGATTCACGAAGGGCGCTTCGAATAAACTACACACCTTCATCAACAGCTGTCTTCGCTTAGTATTACTCAAGATCAGATGGTAAGCCAGAAAACATCAGCAACAAGGATCTCTGGCAATGACAAAACCAAACCAGCAAGAAACCGACTGTGCTGCAAATAAGCAGGAAGAAATGGAGGTGGATTGGCCGTACTTCGAGTAAACAAACCATCAAGTGAGTGACATCGAGTGAATGGGAAGCGGCGAGTTGGTCGTAAATGCAAGGGTGATATGGAGGAGGTCGTGTGAACAGGAGATGAAAGCATGTGGGCATATGTGGAGCAAGGTGAAAAAGTTGATGGAGAACCAAATGCAATGGAGACGTGTTGCTGAAGGCGTATGTTCCTCGAGGAACTATAGGAAACAATAATAATATAAGCAAATTCATAAAAAATAGCGAGTTTTATAAAAGAAAAGACTACACGTTTGATTTCATGAGGAAAACATTAGAAACCATACAGTATATTTTGTATTCACTTGCTTAGGTAGAAACGTTATTTTTCTAAATTCGTTCTTTCATTTTGTTTGTATTTGAATGTTTTCGTCACAACGAATGCCTTATTTAATTATTTATTGTTTCATCTGATAATTCAGTGTCTGAAATGCATAAAACCAATAACCCTTTTGTTACTTTCATAAACTTCAGGAATACAGTCAACTCTTAGATCTTATTCGTGATATCATACTTGCAACTGACTTATCTCATCATCTGCGTATAATGCCCAAATTAGAAGAGTTATCTCATCGAGGATATAATGGGTCAAAAGAAGATCACTACCTACTTTTATGTCTTTTAATGACATCAGCTGATCTAAGTGATCAAACTAAATCATGGAGTAATACAGTGTATGTGGCAAAGTTAATATACGAGGAATTTTTCCATCAAGGCGATATGGAGAAATCATTGGGTCATAATCCAGTCGACAGTATGGATAGAGAAAGAGCATGTGTACCAAATTTACAAATAGCTTTCTTAGACTACATAATTACTCCATTGTACAAGTAAGCAAAACTTTTTGACACTAGCGTTAAATCTTAAATGGGTTATTAGGACTGCAAAGAAATGTGTGCACATGATGTAATACTTCCAAGGAGACATCCAAAGCTCTAATAATCAGTACAGTACAACAGTCTAAATAAGGATAAAGATTTCAATAATCCAGTTTTGCTTGTACTATAATTTTAAATAAGCGCTCAAAGCAAAAACTTGAATTGTAGTCCTTCTGCCAAAAACTTATGGTAAACCTGATATTGGTTACCAAGAAAGCGATTTACTCCTTTTAAATGTTCATTACCTGGCGTAGATATTACTGATAATATTAATACCAACACTAAGGTAAAATCGTAATCTTTCATTTTTGGATAAAAGACTGACACTTTTTTGTTCACCTTTGCATTGAGAACTTTATATTCTAAGTACCTCTATTAATCTTTTCTACGTCTAACTAGATTGTTCCACTAGATCTATTTCGAAAATACCTAAGTACTTACTTTTCAACTTTATAATACCCCAGCTTTCAAAAGTCAACGCGTTGGTAAAGCAAATCATAAGTGAACATGCGATCTTACATAGACAGATTACTTAATTGTTTGTTAGACGCAAATTGAATGCTATCAACCAGAAAGGTAGTCAGCTACAAAGTTTCAAGCAGGCTAACAGTTATTCTCTTCAGTTTCTTTAATATTCACAGAATCAACACTCCAGTGTTACTGTCCCCATCAATATGTTTAGAATGGTATTCAGTGTTTTTTTAATCTTCACAATATGGCTGAAAGATCACAAAAATAAAAAAAGTTATTTATAGTTAAGTTAGATCAATTTCACAACTCGTAATGCAAAGGAGATAATAACATCAGACACACGACAAAGCTCACTCTTCCATGTGAAAGACCGAATTCTAAAGCATTCACAATTAAACTATAACCATAAATTTAAATGCTCAGAATTCTTTGCGATATACATGGAGCAAATCTCGTGGGAAATAAGTATAAAGAAAATGAACACCGTAGAGCTTTCCTATAACAACCAGAAAAACCAGTAAAGCTTGAAAAATTGTCAGCCACCAGTTTACCCGCTATCAAATAAAGCTACAAAATTGATTTTGACAAAATAATCATCATCTAAGAAAATTTCTTATATCACCAGTAACATCTCACAAGGGCCAGGGAACAGATCGTTTATTGAGAAAATCAAGAGATTCAAGTATTGGTTTGTAGGGATTTGGTTGATTGGTTACAGAATTTCATCATGAGCTGACATTGGTTAGAGAACCACTGTGCGTCGGTGGCACAGTGGTTAGGACTCTCGCCGACCATGCACATGGTTCGAGGTTCGATCCCCTGGTCACGACTTCCCACTGGATCCCCTATGAGATGCTCACTAGTGACCGGCCTTATTCAGGTAGGTAGTTACCTGAGGTTCTAGTGAGAAGTTGTGACCAGTAGGATGCAGCAGGTCAGGTGTGAGGACAAATACTCGCCGAAGACATTGGCTAGTGGTCGCGCTATGTCGTGAATTGGCGGAAGTTAGAATTCATACGCCACTGGATCAGGTCCCAGTGGCTTAGTGGTATACGAGCTCGCCTTGTAACCAGAAGGTTCTGGGTTCTAACCCCGGTGGGTGAGTACTAACGAAGAGTCCCAAACTAAGACGAAACAGCTGTCCAGTATTCCCAGTTGGTTTTCCAATGGTTCTCTAACCAATGTCAGCTCATGATTAAATTCCGTACCCAAAAAATCAAGAGGTATTTATCGATTGTTATGTACATTACTATTAGCGTTACTGTTAGCGGAGAAGCAACGTCTTCTGACTGGTTGTTTTCCTGCTGAAGGTTATTCCATACCGTTTTTTAGAGAGTTAAGCTACATATCTGCGAATCGTATTTGCACACATTAAGTCTTCTGTGATTGGTTGGTGAGTTACTCTAGGTTAACCTTTGTTATTTTTATTGTTATGACCCCGATTCGGGATCTAAACATTGACGAAAACTGTTGTCTATAACCTTGGATTTCAGACAGCTCTCACCACACAAGTTTCAATCTGCATTTGGTTTGTTATCTTCACCAATCATCCATCCACTTGACAAATTAAAAATTACCATATGCTTAGAAATTGCGATTATTTTCCTGTATGTAGACTGAAATTTCGCGATATATGGTTTAATGATATTATTTTGATAAATACATTACTAGCATTAAATAATAAAACGTCAGTAAAAACAATACTGTTTCTTTTTTCAATTCATTTGAAAATACAAAAGCATTCGCAATAACGAATATCATATGCAGAATGCCAACGTTTTCTGCCTAAACTATTAAATGTGAAATTAGTTTGGACATATTTCCCTTCTCTTTTTCAAAGTGTTGCATAAAAAGTGATAAATTTAACAAACAAACACTCTTCCTCTTTTTTTATTTTTACGATAGGGTATTGAAAAATCTATATCCACAGTGCTCAGGTATCCTGAATACTATAGAAAATAACCGTAGTAAGTGGAAGATAATTCTTGACCTTGTTGAAAAAGGTGAATTAAAAGGCAATGGTTTAGAAATTTTCAAGCATAATCTTGTAGATATAACGTCGAAATCATCACAAAAAAGCTGATGAATAGAGCAAAACAAACTAGAGAATATCTGCTGCATTGTTGACCTGCACCAACCTCTAATAGCAAATCACAGATCATCACAATAAACATCATCTTCGTCATCATCCTTGTAATCATCCTCCTCATCTCCATCCTCACATTATCATAGATTTACAGAAACTATAATTATTTTATGTTATAAATTGTTTTACTCATTCTTATTCTATTTCACTTCATGTTCATTTCATCTTTCTCTTTTTGCATTATTTGTAGAATAGTACTCGAAAAATTCATTTAATTTCGTATTCACCTGTTTTTATACAATCTATTATCAGTACTGAATTGTACATAAATATACAATCTATGAAAGATGAATAAAGATTCTGTAAAACTGTGATGATCTTGTAAAGAAATAATGATTCCACTTCAGTGGGAATATCTATGTGAAATCTTAAAAAATGTGAATGTCACACAAACTAGCCGTGTTTTTGTGGAAAGTAGGCGTTGACATTAGATGAATGAAGACAGTGGTCATTTAATTTTATTGCAATAAAAATAACTTCTACTAATATGTCTTTATTCCCTTACGTTCCAAGTGGAATATATGGCTTCAAGCTGAAGGCTTGAAGTTTCTGTAGCAATGGTGACTCCATATTAGTTTCTTTATTAGATGTATCACACAGTGAAACAGTATTGGTATTTACTGGATGACATTTCGAACAAAATTTATTGTTCATAATCATATCAATTGTAGTCACACGACTTCGAAACTTGAGTTCTATGGCTTTCTTTGTCTTCTCTTATTTGTCATAGGGGTAGTAGAATTTTTCAGATATCTGGGACAGGTGTTGAATCATTCCTGTTACATGTATTTGCAGCTGACTCGATAAACATAGCTTCTGTTATCAATTTCTCCCTCCCTACATCCTGTGACATTAGATTTTAAAACGGTCATCCTATCCCATCCTATTGTGTGGTTGTGTGTAGTGCTATAACTGGGCCATTCTCTAGATTTTTTATCTTATTTGGGTCAACCAATCTAGATTTTGCTAGGTTATTATGGTCGGCTAGTCTGGCTGACTGCACCTGTCCTACTAGTTTGACCTGTGTAGTTGACCTGACAATCATCTCAGGCAGGGTATTAGATAAACTAAAATGGTTTCCTCCAGTTCACTTATGAATTGGAAAATCAGGTAGAGGAACGTCCAGTGTTAGATTGCAACGTAAAAAGGAAAGAAGATGCAAAGTTAAACACTAGTGTTTACAGGAAGCCCACACATTTAAACAGATACTTGGACTTCAGATCATCCAATCCTATGTCAGTATGTGGTGAGATCAGGCCGTGGGAAAATATGTACAAGGCTGATTCAACAATCACAGCAGACTTAACGTGGCAAAATATGATTCGCAGATAGGGAACTCTATTTTTCGAGGAATCCCGAAACAACTAGTAAGAAGCCTGCGTTTGTCTGCTTAACTTCCGAGAAACAACCAATCAGAAGACTGCGCTAGTCTACTTGCATAAGCTATAATAATGTACATAAAATATACATAAATACGCTTTGATTTTCGTAATAAAACGATCTGTTGCCTGGCCCTTGTCTTCTGTTGTTACAAGTAAAAATAGGATTGCTGAAATGTTTAAGTAACAGAGCTAAAAAACTAAGTAGTACCAAGGAAAATCTAAGACAGGAAGTGATACAAATAAAAAGCCTTGAAACTTAATAATTACCCGGATTAATTAGTCAGTAAATATGTAAGTAAATGTAAAAATAAGATAAATAATAATAGTAGCGATAGTGATAATAATAATGATAACACTAATAATGATAATAATAATGGTGATAATAATAATAATATTAATGACGACACTAACAATAAGAAAACGAAGTCATCAGTAGTAATTCCATACAAGGAAGGAACCTCGGAAACCTCACGCAGAATTCTTAACAATGCAGGTAGGAATAATAGAGGCATTCAAACACACAAACTCAATTAGAGACAACCTTTATCAGTTAAAAGATCCTGTGGAGCCTTTACAACAAAACAATTTGGTTTATCTAATACCCTGCCTGAGATGATTGTCAGGTCAACTACACAGGTCAAACTAGTAGGACAGGTGCAGTCAGCCAGACTAGCCGACCATAATAACCTAGCAAAATCTAGATTGGTTGACCCAAATAAGATAAAAAATCTAGAGAATGGCCCAGTTATAGCACTACACACAACCACACAATAGGATGGGATAGGATGACCGTTTTAAAATCTAATGTCACAGGATGTAGGGAGGGAGAAATTGATAACAGAAGCTATGTTTATCGAGTCAGCTGCAAATACATGTAACAGGAATGATTCAACACCTGTCCCAGATATCTGAAAAATTCTACTACCCCTATGACAAATAAGAGAAGACAAAGAAAGCCATAGAACTCAAGTTTCGAAGTCGTGTGACTACAATTGATATGATTATGAACAATAAATTTTGTTCGAAATGTCATCCAGTAAATACCAATACTGTTTCACTGTGTGATACATCTAATAAACAAAACAATATGGAATTACTTACTACCACAGTGCACAAATTTTACATATATGTTAAGCAGTGGTGAATATTTTTACGAAATGAGGTTGCCAGCCACATGCTCAATCTTCCTTCTTAACCAGTCCTATTCCTGGTTTAACAAGGTAAATATGTGAATCGGCCGGAGAATGAGCCGTGTACCACCTGCGTTGTCGGCGAGCACTCTATTGCAGTTCCACCGACGCCTACCTATGAAACCATACGTTTACCTAATCCTTATCAGCTCCAACATATTCATAACAGTCTTGTCTCACTTATAGTGTCAAGTAACTGGAGCAGTGGAAATTTGTCCCTCATGTACTAATATGATTCAAGGATGTCAGAACGTTAGATGCATCATTCTATTCACACTCTAGGGAATTTCAAAGAAGTAAAAAACCTACTCTGGTAATGAAAAGTATCACGCGACCACCAAAAGGGTGCTTCTGTTATAGAGACTAGATGTTATTTTGTAAATAGAGAACAAATAACAAGTATATGTATCTGGTTATGAAGAGGAAACGTTCGAGCAACTGACATTATCAGATAAAAAACAATACTAAATACTAGGCGCCAACAACGAGAAGCACTAATGTTTATGAATGTGATTTATGTACATCTCAGCGATTGTCAAAAGATTCAATTTTTTTAAATCTCCCTCTAGATTTTCAGAGAGAGAAAGGTTTGAGTGAATGGTTTTCTCTAGTAATTTCTTTATCAGGCTGCTCGGTTAAGCATGTTAAAGTCAGTGGTTAGAAAGTCTCTGTGTTATGAGGGATAAATTAAGTTTATGGTGGTCGTTTCAGGATACTTACCATTTTCCTAAAGCTTCAATCAACCAAACTACTGTGTAGATCAGTCACTTATTCAAGCCGCTAGTTTCTGCATTGTGTTATAACTGCAGACATTCATCGTAAATTCAGCTGACAATCCCTAGTGCGCTTACGCTGAGTTTTTGGGTTATATGGGAATTCGATTGATTCCAAAGCGATCATCAGGTCTTAAGATGCACCAGGTTTCCAGCTTATATGAACTCGTTAAAGGATATAACGATTTACTAAATAATGTGGTAATACAATAATATCATTAATTAAAGGGGAAGTAGTCCACTGATTTTATAAATTTCACCAGATTAAATGTGTTCTGATAATCTCACAAACAGGAAGAGATGGACTTCACATAACAACAAAACGGAGCCTTAAATGATCATAAGAAATATAAAGAAGTTGGTTACACCGAAGACAATTTACTTTTCGTCAAAGTGATCAATTAGATTATACATTCGTGTGTTTATGATAAATAAGTGAGAAGGCTTCACGACGATTAACTGCCGAAGGTCAAATTAATAGGATAACAAAGTGTACCGAACTGGAAAATTTGGTAATGAAAACAAAGTAAGCTCATAATTACTAAGAAATTTGACTTTTTGTACATTTAGGGATTAGAAACGTAGTAATAACAAAATAGGCGAAAAGTTCGCATAGAAAACAAAGTAATGCAGATAGAAACTAAAAAATAAAGTAAGAAGAACAAGAATGAACAGGAAGATTAAATAAGAAATGTGACAGAATAATTGTTATTGATAGAAATAACTTTTTAATTCATGAAAAATTCCAACTCTAACATTAATAGACAAAAGACCATTAGTTCAGCATAGAGTCTGTTTTCGGTGAATTCATTTTCATAGCTGTACAATCACAAATATATATAGTTCTTCTGTAGATGTGTGTAGATTGAATTTGTTAAACGAAAATATAATTAGTAAGTTCAGATGAATTGGATTTTGCTATAGTGGAGGAGGATAGTAACAAAAGTGATGAGTTGCTACAAACGACTTTTAAATAAGAGTTACGTAATAGCGTGAATAGTTTTATGAAAGAGTTGTGCTTAGGGTATACATGGAAACAAAATAACATACGGAGTTACACAAGGGTTTTAAGTAGTGGGAAAAATAAGCATACAGACATAAATTAAGTCAAGTCAATTGAGTTGTTATGATGATAGTAAAAGTGGTTGAATAATTTTCTTTTGTATGCATAGTTCTGGTGCTTCCAATAGAATGGCTAGGGTTTCTGCAATGCGAAAAAGACGATAACGTATTGTCTTTGGCAGGTTGTTCTTCACTTTGTAGATTACTTTAAACGAGGCGTTTTTCGAGATGAAATGACAAGCGTTGATGGGATGTTCGATTACTACACACCTCATACGGCCACTTCGTCCTTTCTGCAGCCATGCTGAACAGTGTTCTTTGACCCCTTTTTGACAGGATGTGCGTTGAACAACCGATATGCCTGTCTCCACAGCAAGAGGTGAACTGTTATATACACATAGAAGTGGTCAAGTGCGGGATCTTGTTCTTTTGGCCTCTGCAGATCACCGTGAGTCTGGAGAACACTACTCTCAATATTGCCGCAAAGTAAGTTCTTCTTAGGGAAGTGGAAATTCTCCTCCTAAGTACAT